GTATGGAAACAACTTCATCTTCTCCGTGAATGCAGTAGCGTAGTCGTCAACGCTCATCCTTCCTTCTTCAAGTTTTGGAACTCACTGTTCAAATCAATCAGATTATCTCGAACAGTAACTGCATCTTCAGTTGTTCCAAGAACTCTCCCATGACATTTTCAGGGCTTCTCCTCGCCGCATTGTATCCGCCAATAGCTTCCACCAGCTCAAGACTCTAGTTTTCAGTTGCCTAACTGCGAAGACAGTCTTCTGTTTCTCGCTACAGTTGCAGCTCTCGAACACCATCTCCATTTCGGAGTCCAATCCATAATCTCAACAGGCTTTGGGCTTCCTGAGAGACTTGGTGGCTTGGCACCCAAGAATTCTTATACATCCGTCCATCCTTGTCCGTTTCCCCTCTCTGGGTCATTCCTTCGTTCTCCTTGACTCCCAACTTGACTCACATGGCGGCTATAGTTCCTTCCTCAGATTGCTCGAGAGTCAGCTCGGGTTGCTCAACGGCAATGGTAGTTCGTCCCTATTCAACATCTGCCTCATTTTCTCCTCTTTGTTCCGCTAACATAGCCCGAATCATGGCTTGTACTCCAGCCATGGTGATTGGCTCGGGTGCAACTTCTACTACAACGAGCTCCGTTTTCGACGTTCTTTATATCCATCGCGTAGGCGGGAACGTACTCTACAACTTTTCGTTTAGACTCCGTCGGCTAATTTGACTTTATTTTAAATTTATATTTTTAACAAGGCCGGGACAGGATTGGTCCGTTAAAAATTCATAACTTCTTCATCCGACGTCCGTTTCGTCGGTCTTTTTATCGTAACGCTACTATTAACGAGATCTTCGTTCTCGTTTAGGTTTTGTGTTGGCTAAATACCACTCGATTTAATATTCGAACTTCGGGTTGTACACTGCTAAGTCGAAACTTCTCGAAAAATCATAAACTTCTTCATACGAAGTCAGATTTGGGCGTTCTTTAATGGTCGCTATCGGTTTAACGTATTCTAAAGACTTTCGTTTAGGTCGCTAAGGCTAAAACTTGCTCTATCATAAATTCACGATTTAGCGCTTCCCGGTAAACAGTGTCGGTTCCGTCGTGAAACTTCAACCGGGTCATAACTTCTTCGTTATAAGCGGATTTCGGTGTTCTTTATATCTCCGGAATCCTTGTTTTCGTCGACCACTATCACTTTATGTAAAGATATCGGGTTTCTCACACTTTAATTTTGACGCTTATTTTTATTCCTTATTTAGTATACATTTATAAATAATAATAAGCATATAAATTCACATAATTCATATAATACTCAAATATTTCATCTTTATTACATCAAAAAGAGTTACAATAGTTGACCTAGACTATTACATCGTCTAAAAATGCTTAGCCCCGAAACCTGGGCGTTACACTAACAAACATCTCACATGGAGCTATTAAAGTGTCGACGTTGTTGCCCAGCTGTCAACACTGAAAATAATTTATGAACGGGGCAGGCGTTTCAGTAATGGCATAGCTTTTGCTATGGACAAAACTTACCCGAGTTAAAGCACCTTGAACTCATTGGACAATTCATGTCAAATACAAGGTTGCAACCATTATGGACGGATGTCGGCACCTTGAACTACTCGACTTGCGTCATTGTCACTCCAAGGGAGAGGTTGGGAAAAAAATTTAGAAAAGATTAAATGTGTAAAACTGCCACGAGTCTATCGAAGGATCTCCATATATTATGGAAATATGCCATAGCATGTAGGAGATACTGAAATTAGATGATGATTACAATAACTTTTCTGACATTCAGGACTTGTAAGATATAGCTTTGAAATCATGGCACGTGGACAACATTATTATACAGAAACCTTTTTATTTTATAATTTTTACTCGTAGTCTTAAACTTCTATCTCATTAATCTTATAGCTTATGCTTCAGTAACATTGTTCCAACATTCGAGACGGTGGTGCTCTATTTGCATCTGAATTAAGCTCTAATAAAAGGTCGACTTAATATTATTAAAAGTCAAACTCCAGGGGCGGATGCAATATTCATAGTAGGGATGGTCACACAGGAAAGTCAAGGGTTTGCACGATAGTAGAAAAAATAAAATTTTCGAAAAAATTTTCACTGTGTCCGAGAAAAATCAGGGTTGCCGATGCCACTAGTGACCCACCCTAAAACTACCCCTGTCAAACTCCCTCTGGCAACAAATTAATTAAGGGGTGAATTTTGTTTATGATTAAACACTGTAAGAACTTATAACAAATAATCAAGCTCGACTCTCAAAGGTTCGTTTACAACGAATATTTATAGGATATAATGGATAAAAGGCATGGTTTTGAAAGCCCAACCAGACCGTCCTATTGAACAGTTGAACCGAAACCTATCAAGTTACCACCAGTTTTTTGATGCCCAAAACAGTACAAAAAAAAGCCCAAACAAGCTGGTCCACCACACTTTAAAAGGTCGTTTTTGAACATATATAGATTTTTTACTTTTTAAAGATTGCTAACAATACCGACAATTTTGTTCTTTGTGCTTTATATGTATCCATGTAGTACATGGCTATTTTTGTGTAAAAAATTGAAGTAGGCTGTAAAAAAGTGAAAGTATGTTGTTATAATCAGTAGGGTGAGCAAACCGAACCTGAATACTGTAAAACCGAAACCAAATAGAAACAGGCGGTTTGGGTTTGAGATTTTTAGAAAGCGTAATAGGTTTCGGTTTAGGTTTTAGAAAATCTAGAAACCGATAAAACCGAAACCCGAACCGATTTATACAAAAATATATTATTCTGTGAATATGTTGTAAATATATTTATTAATTACGTGACTTAGGGAGAGGGAGTCATTCCCTCCAACCTACTGAACCTACTGCCACATCACTTTTTCTCTTTTATTTTTTTTTCATCTTTCTCACCCACACACACGGAAACCCTATCTTTTTTAACACATTCAATTAAAAATACAAAAACATCAAGGTAAAATCTTAATTAGCATAGAGTTACCGCCGGTACCACTTCCGCTTCAACGGGTTGTTTAATTGGTTTTACTACACCTTCATCATCTGTCTCTACTTCTCTCTCTCTCATTTTCTCTTGTACCATGTGTTTTAAAACTTGTACCTTAGTTGTTTTGTATTTTTTTTAATTGAGTGGGTTGAGAAAAATATGATTTCCGTGTGTTGTGGGTTGGGAAAGATGAAGAAAAAGAAGAAACAAAAATTGATGTGACAGTGGGTTCAGTGGATTGGGAGGGAATGACTCCCTCCTCCCTTATAACATATAATTAGTTTGGTTTGCTGGTCAGGTGGTTTTCGGCACTTATACTGAGGTCGCATTATTAAGGTTGTTTTGGCGCGCCACAGCTAGCTTATTTTCGAGTTTTGTTAAGTTTTCGTGTTTGGCAAGCCAAAAGTAGCTTATAAGCTAACTTAGAAGGTAGCTTTTTAAAAACTACTTAGACTAGCTTTTTTAGGAGTTTTTTTTAAAATTTTCTAAATTAGACCCCTTAATTAATTAGAAAAACACATTTTTTAAATGTCTTTTTAGGTCATTCTTATTTTTCAGCTAGTTTACAAAACGTTTTTTTTAGCAGCTAGCTTTTATTTAACAGCTAGTTTTTTCAGCTATCAGGTAGCTTTTGCTAGTACCCCAAATAGCCTAATATTCTTGTTGTTTTTACTTTTCCTGTATGTAGCATCCATCCCACATGACCTAGTACGCACCAAACTCAGCCTAAGTTTAACAATTATAAAGAAGAGGTAAGTCAAACTAAAACCCATAGCTTCCTTTATAGGGTAAATAGCATAAAAAACACTCCGTTTACACCAAAATTCTAATTGACACCGTGTTTTTTTTTTGTCTCAAATTTTGACACTGTGTTTTCCAATTTGTTACAATTCTGACCACTTGACCGTTAACCAGGTTACATGCTGACGTGGCATGATGACGTGTCAGTTTTGATGATGTGGCATGCTGACCTGTCAAAATTGAATTTTTTTTCCACAAAAAACACTAAGTTTTCACTTTTTTTCGATTTTGACACTAAGTTTAATTTTTTTTCTTTCAATTTTGACACTATGTTTTTTTGTTCCAAATCGAACATCATTTTTTCCAATTTTATTCAATTTTGACCATTTTCCCATTTGAAACCGTATAAATATATTTTATATTACATTTTAAAAACCATATAAATATATTTTTTTTGTTTAAAAAACCACATTTTTATTTAAATACAAGGTTTTTTTTTTTTTTTTTTTTTTTTTTTTTTTTTTTTTTTTTTACACATTCAAAGTATAATGTATAAATATGCATTAGTTATATATGAGAATCAACTAACCATAAGCTTCTAATAAGATGTGAAAATTTCAGGGGTGCAAACTTGACATCCGAGTTTTAATTAAATCGACTACAAACACGCTCCAAACTACAAACTCATTTTAAGTTGCGTATTAATATAAAATACGGTTTTATATAACTAATACATATTTAAACATAAAATTATGGTTGAATGTAAAAAAAAAAAAAAAAAAAAAAAAAAAAAAACCTGTATTATACAAAACTATGTTTTTAATTGAAATGGAATGGTCAAAATTGAACAAAAATTGATAAATGATGTTCGATTTGGAACAAAAAAACATAGTGTCAAAATTGAAAGAAAAAATTAAACTTAGTGTCAAAATCGAAAAAAAATAAAACTTAGTGTTTTTTGTGGAAAAAAATTCAATTTTGACACGTCAGCATATCATGTCAGCATGCCACATCATCAAAACTGACACGTCATCATGCCACGTCAGCATGTAACCTGGTTAACCGGTCAGTGGTCAGAATTGTAACAAATTGGAAAACACAGTGTCAAATTTGAGACAAAAAAAAACACGGTGTCAAATTAGAATTTTTGGTGTAAACGGAATGTTTTTTATGCTATTTACTCTCCTTTATATGATAAGACTAGGCATGCTTAATGGATATGAATAATCTAAAGAGAATCTACTCTAATAAATGAAGGTTTTTTGTCACATGTCCTCTTCTCCTTCATTTGGACACATGTCATTTTCTAAAATTTTTAAATTTTCTATTTTCCACTTGTCATTTTTATTATATTTTTCATTTTATTAAATTAAAATTCCACATTTAGTATGTAAGGTAATAATATGTAAGGTATTTATTAGAAATGGTTTATATATGTAATGTATTCAATACATTAAAGTCTCAAAATTTCTAATTTTTCTTATAAATTCAAACTTTTCAAATTGTTAAAATTTTATATTTAATTTTTTTTAAATAAACTCATGTAATACATAGTCTCACACCTAGTTTTTTTAAAAAACAAATACCAAGCAAATAATAACTAGTTTTTTTAAAAAACAAATACCAAGCAAATAATAGTGGGCAAAGATCTATCGTTTTGCGAGATGGATAATTCCCCCTAAGCAATTCGTGGCTGCAAGACATGGGAAAAACAGATTGCGTCTCACAACTTGCTCTCCAAAAAGTCAAACAAACAATCTCCCCATACTTCACGAGCTGCAATTAAAAAAAAAAACCGCAAGAAAGATATCTCATATTTGATTATTCTCTAAACAGATTCATCTTTGATTCCATTCGCATCTTCACTTGCTTCCTCGAACAATCAAAACCCAATTCATAAAATCTTTCATACTAATCCCAATTATTCCATCGACTTCTCGATCATGACCATGGTGATAACTTAATACGCCATAAGATCAAGCTTTCGATCGTCAAACTTCATGGGTTTGGAGGGAAACAAACAGACGACCTTGAGCAATGATCAGAAGAACACTACAGAAAAGAAATCAAACCCTAAACTAACGTTACTACCTCTAATCGCCCTAATTTTCTACGAAGTTTCCGGGGGTCCATTTGGTGTAGAAGATTCAGTCAATCCGGAGGCGAGCTCTACTTTCATTACTAGGGTTCTTAATTTTCCCCATTTTCTGGAGCATCCCAGAAGCATTAATCACAGCCGAACTCGCTACAAGCTTCCCGGAAAACGGCGGTTATGTCATCTGGATATCATCGGCGTTCGGCCCTTTTTGGGGTTTCCAAGAAGGGTTTTGGAAATGGTTTAGTGGAGTTATGGATAACGCACTTTACCCTGTATTATTTCTCGATTACTTAAAGCAATCACTCCCAATCTTCGATCAATTATACGCTAGAATTCCAACCCTTTAGCAATTACTATCTTATTAACTTATCTGAACTACAGAGGTCTTCATATCGTCGGATTTTCTGCTGTTCTTCTTGCTTCTTTCTCTCTCCTTCCATTTGCAGTCATGGGTATTCTTTCAATCCCCAAAATCCGGCCTAAAAGATGGGTAACTTTGGATTTCAAGAAGGTTCAATGGAGGGGTTACTTCAATAGCATGTTTTGGAACTTGAATTATTGGGATAAAGCAAGTACATTAGCTGGTGAAGTTGAAGATCCAAGTAGGACGTTTCCGAAAGCTCTTTATGGTGCAGTTATTGTGGTGGTTTGTTCTTATCTGATTCCACTTTTGGCGGGAACTGGGTCATTGGAATCGGATTCCAGTGAATGGAGTGATGGGTATTTTGCTGAAGTTGGGTTTTTGATTGGAGGTTCTTGGCTAAAATGGTGGATTCAAGCTGCTGCTGCTATGTCGAATTTGGGGTTGTTTGAAGCTGAAATGAGTAGTGATGCTTTTCAACTTCTTGGCATGAGTGAAATCGGAATGCTTCCTTCTATATTTGCTTCCAGGTAAAAATATTACATATTTTGGTCCTAACAATGAAACGATCGTTGCATATTTTGTATATAAAAAAAAAACATTTTGTTGTATAAGTTGGGAAAAAGTCAACTTTTTGTCCATTTTGTACAAAAAGACATTGGATTCGATGTGTGGGAAACGGGAGTTTTGTGGGTTATAATTGACTAGTAATATATAATTTATAAAGTTATTGTAATTATAAAGATGTGAATCACAATGTAAAAAGCTAAGACATACAAGGGTATTTTAAAAATCCATATAAGTTAGAAAAACGAATATATTATAATATTCTTTTTGGTTTTAAAATTTGTGTAATGGATTGAAAATGAATAACGTTTTACATAAAAAAAAACATCATTTTGGTGCAACAAATAGTGTAATGTGTTATATACTTAATAAGAAATGTTTTGAAAGTACAATGTTGTAATAGAAAGAAATGAAAGTAGGATTTTGTATTACACAAATATATGAAAATATGTTGCTATTTCTTTATTCTTTTGCATACGTTCATAGGTCAAAATACGGGACACCAACAATCAGCATATTATGCTCAGCAACGGGTGTCATCTTTCTATCATGGATGAGTTTTCAAGAAATCTTGGAATTTCTCAACTTTTTATACGCAATTGGAATGCTATTCGAATTCGCAGCTTTTATAAAACTAAGATTAAAGAAACCGGATCTTCATAGACCTTATAAAGTTCCTTTAAAAACATTTGGTGCAACAATGTTGTGTGTACCTCCTGCTACTTTACTTGTACTCGTGATGTGTTTGGCTTCCTTAAGAACGTTCTTGGTGACCGGTGGTGTTATTGTTCTAGGGTTTTTCTTGTACCCTTTTATCATTCATGCGAAAAATAAAAATTGGGCCCACTTTGTTTCCATTGATGATATAAAATTAAATGATTGTGATGTTGAAGATGATGAAAACGTAATGCGCCACATGGCGGATGAAGCCGGGGTCCGTTTACTATCGGATTCTTCTTCATCTTCTAGTATGGAAAAAGTATCTGAAATACAGAAGGAGGTGAAAATCTATAAATGAGGTTAAGTTCGAATGATGTGATTCATTTATTCGGTATTGATTGTGGGACATGTTAGTAGGGGGACACCTTGGGGTGCGTGTACCCTTATTCTTGTTGTATTTAAAGAAAGATTGTGATATGTTGTAAAACAATTCTTTGAACCTATTTTTGTTGTACTTAAAGAAAAGATTATATGATATGTTATAAAACTTATTTTTTTACATGATATAACTATTATTTAAATGAATAGTGTTTTTGTTAATTGTTATTGATTGTTAATAGTAAAGTGAGAATGTTGAAATAAAAGCAGGGCTAGGATGCATAATGCACTTGTCCTATATGATTGACCAATGTTGTGATACTATGAAGTTTGATCATTGATGTATGGAAACACGCTTTTTGCATATTGCGTTTTACGCCCCTTGAGTTTATTTGGCAACATAACTAACCTTTGTGTTATATTCTTTTTCTGTTTCATTTGTTTTTACAATTTTTATTATTTTCCGTTTCATGATTTTTCGTTTCATTTGTTTCTACATGAAATAACGTTATGATTTTGAAGGTTGATTTTACAAGTTCTATTAATTTGATGATAAATCTAAGAGTAAATTATATTTTTGGTTTACAAGTATAGTTGATTTTTGCAATTATTTGGTTTTCAAAAGTCCCTTTTGCAATTTAAGTTTTTATTTGATGTTTTTGTAATGTTTTTGATCTCCGTTCCAAGTAAAATAATAAACGAGTATTTCTTTTATCTGAATATATTTGATTTGTGTGATTTTGATCGATAAGTTATCGTCATATTTATTTGGAATGCAAACCAAAATGTTACAAAAATCTAAAATAAGAACCAGAATTGCAAAAGAAAAGTTTTTGCAACCAAGTTGGAAAAAAATAAAGGGCTTTTGACATAAAAGTCCTTACGTTTGTCAGGTTTTGTTGGTTTTGTCCATGTGACGATTTTTTATTCGTTAATGTCCAAGATTTGCCAAGTTTTTTTTTCATTTTTTGTCATTTCTACAAATTTTTTATGTTTTTACCCTAAGTATGTTTTTCAAATTTGTAAAAAAGCCTTAAGTTTACAAATCTTATATGGTTTTATCCTAATTATGTTTTCCAAATTTGACATGAAAGTCCTTAAGTTTGTTAAATTTGTCGGTTTTGTCTCTGGACACCAACTATTATAGGTAGCAAGGACAAAAATAAAAATAAAAACTTGGCAAATTTTGAACATTAACGAACAAAAAATCGTCACAGAGACAAATCAACAAAATCTGACAAACTTAAGGACTTTTATGTCAAAAGCCCAAAAATAAACTACATTAGGGGACCAAAATATAATTTACTCGAATTTTAATTAATAAATTTATTTATTCCAATTATGAATTATGTTTATAATTATTTATGTTGTTATACCACAAGATCCCAATACATATAATAAAGAGAAGGTGGAAGGACACTTTGGTCATTGTACCTAGATATGGAGGTTAAAAGTGAGCTTATGAACCATAATCTTGGTTATAAATACGAGAGTTGGGGATGGATAAATCACTTTATGCATTTAGACCAAGTCACACCAAAAAGACAATATTCACACACATACAAGAGAGAACTTCGTTTTTAATGAAACCGAACCAACTTTCATGATTATTGATCAACACATCGAGGACCGAGGACCTGGGCCGACTCTATCTTTTGCCAAAATAAGCAAGGACTTAGGGTCCCCAATTCTAAAGGGCCCCAAATTTTAAACCTTATTCACTAATTGTAGTCCATAAAACTGAGAATCGATCATTTGATTGTTACGCACGTCTGACTTGACGCCACAATCAACAATCGAAGCGACGATTCAATTTCCACAAAAACTCATCTATTCTAGTTCTTATTCCTTCTTGTCAGCTTCTCCTCCTGTCCTCCAATTTCTATTCTAGTCTGAAACGCAAAAACGCAGCCAATGGCAGCAGCCAACGATGATTCGATTCAGTGATTCTCGATCAGTCAATTTCAAATCAGGGGCGGCAATGCAAGACTTCAACTGATGAACTGAAAGTCTGAAACAATATGTGTTCCCAATTCCCATTATCTGATATTCTGATTATCTTCTAGTTCTAGTTTTGAGTTTCCTGTTTTCCATTATCCATATATCTCATCATTTGTGATTGTGGATTTGTTGTAGATTAAGAATCTGATAAGTGTTATTGACTTATTTATTGATCCTAATATCGAATGATATCATTATCTATTTATTTTAGAGACTCGAGGTAGATTAAGAATCTGATAAGTTTTCATGTTTTCTATTATATTCTATTATCAAGCAACAAGTATTTCTAATCCATAATCCATTAATTTACTTCCAGTTTATTGTTTGTTCATTTGTAGTTGTCTTTGTGATTGTTATTATTAATCAGATAATCAATAATCATGTTTGAAAGGAAATGCCAAATGTCCCTAACTTTTTGATTCGTTTAGAGCTCTCAAACTGATTAAGTCGTCCCTGCTGAAGACAATGATATACTGTGATTTAAGGTTCTATTGGATTTATGATTTGTTTGATACAGAAAAATCTTTATAAGTTTTTGTTTAAATTTGAGGTTCTATTGAATATATAGCTCTTTATAAATTAATGTAACTAAAAGTTTTATGACACGACAAAAAAAACAAGATAAATGAACAAAAGAAATTCAATGATTTCATTTACGATTAAATTGTCACTTCAGTGGGTGTAATAATTTGGAACAAAATTATATGTATGATGATTAAAACATTTATTTATTCTATCCTAATTTTACATTATAACAAATAAAATAGCTAGTTAGTGTCAAAACAATGAGGAAAATAGTATATAGACGTGAAGGGTTGATATTGCAATCCATGTTAAGTTAGGGGGTTATTTATGAAGTTACTCAATATATCGTCAAGCGGGTCGTCTTTGTTCTTGCATAAGTAGCGATTTATATCAACGTTTTCACGAAAGGGTTTTCCAATTCCTAAATCCAAATTCTAGGGTTTCGATCTTACTCAAAAATCCAACTTACGATCGCAAGATAAACCCAAATTGACCCGTCGATTCGAACGAAACCATCGAAGAACCTCGGAGCAACAATTCAATTGCTGAAATCAGCAAGCGCGATTCAATTCAGGTCGATTTTCTCTCATCCGATTGCTATTTTTGTTGCTGAATTATTTAACTAAAGTGTCACACTAGATCGCAATCACTTCGATTATTCAACGATTTGTTCGCATTTAACAAATGCTATCGAGTTCTTCTAAGTTCATGTTTTCGTTATCGATCAATTTTTACACAAATTGAGAATTTCATTAGAGCATTGAAAAGCTTCGATTGTTACAAGTAGTTTTTTTAATTTTATTACCAGAGTCGAAAGGATGGTCAATATAGCTGGAATGGATAAGTTCAAGTTCGTAATAAGATTTTCTAATTGGCAAATTAACATTCTTTACCCTCATTCTAATCGTCAAACTGGGGATAGCAATTTAAAACTGTGTTAGATGATTACATAAATATCTAGGTTATTACTTATTAGCCTCTTTGTAGAGTTTACTTTCTTGAAATAATGAAACATATGCCCCTTTTTGGATTGCGATGCATTTCCCTTACTTTAAACCCAAAATTCATATGATCCTGCATTGATTTCCATTACAATCATAACAAGCATCTTACATTGACAATCAAAACATTGTGGATTTTAGGTATTCAAGAATAAATGGGCGCGAATCAGTATACACGAATTGATACATTAGAGCTGAAAGCTCTTTTCCATAAAAAACTCGGACAACAAAGAGCCGATAAATACTTCATTCTACTCTACAAATACCTCAATTGCCAGCTTGCAAAGAACAACTTCCTCAAATTCTTGATCCTAACAATCGGTAGAGAAAATCTCCCTCTTCACAACCGATTAATCACTTCAATCGTAAAAAACGCCACTCTATCCAAAACCCCACCACCAACATTCAAAAAGTTCACAAAATCCCTCAATGTGAAGATTGCGAGGGGACAAAGGAACAGTCTGCAGTCATATGTTTCTTCGTCCCCTCGCAAGAGCCGGTCCCCACGGGACCGGAAGTTAAAAGACCGTTTTAGCCCTCTCGGGCCAAACGGTAAATCCGATTTCCACCAAAGTCCAACCGAACTTCATTCTCTCGGTAGCCGACCGCCAATTGAAGTTTTATCGGTTGAAGACGGCGAAGAGGTTGTTTCCGGGAGCCCAGGGATTCAGAGCAGAAGCCCGGTCACAGCTCCTCTCGGTATTTCATTAAGCAAAACCCGAAAGAGCTTGTACCGGGCTTCTGTCCATGGGCCCGCAAACGCTTCGCGGGCCCATATGTGTCAGAACAATTTTGAATTGCCCGATAGTCGATACTTGAGGGGGTGTTTGCGACAAAAGTTGGAAGTTGAGGGGATAAGTGTTTCGGAAGATTGTGCAAATTTGTTAAATGTTGGTTTGGATGCTTATTTGAAAAGATTGATCGAGCCTTGTATCAGTCAAGCCCGGTCAAGGCTCGGTCAAAGTCAAAGTCAAAGTCAAACTGCCTCTGTTTTAAATGGGCCGAGGGTAGTTTCGTCTGTTTTGGATCTTAGTGTTGCGATGGAGTGTGATCCACGTAGACTTGGAGTTGACTGGTCAACGCAAATGGAGAAATTACGGTTAAGTACTTTTGAAGAATAAAATTAGTTTTTGTGATTCTTTGTGGTAGAATTTTGATTCTTGGAGGTGTATGCTTCTTGATAACTTGTCTCTAAATTGTTTATGGGGGCTTTCAAGTTTCAATGAGTTCACCAGCATCTTTATTAGTTGTCTTAGTGTTGTATAGCGTATGGGGATATACCTCCAAGTTTGAGTATATTCTCTCTGAGTTCACTTATAATGCTTTATGTTGAGAAAAAGAAGGGCATATACTTAATTTGCACACTATTGTTTACATGCCAAATCTAACAAATGTTTACATGTTTAGTACCAACTACCAAGTGTTTCATTAGTGACTTAATTCGCAAATTAGTAAAAGCATTAAAGCAAGCTTTGTTTGTTAGGTGTTTGACAAACTTGTACTGTAGATAAATAAAATAAACTATATATCCAGTAAATTTATATTTTCTATTTTGGGATAAATGCACATTAAACAAATAAATAACTATACATATTCATGTATCGTAAGTAATTTTTTAAAAAATAAATATGTTTATAATACAAGACTTTATAAATTTTGTTTTTATAAAACATATTGATGTCGATAAATAACAAAAATAACAATCGTTTTGGGTCATAACTTTTACAACTTAAACGAATCACAATTGGTGAAACATCAAACACCACTATCAAACGTGCATGTTGACTTGCACTAATTAATTATATCATTTTTTTTACATGTGACCAACAATTAACACAATCTTAATGCAAACCTTACTATTGTATTTAAACCAAAGTTTATGTGATTCGCACATAAAATTATAGCAGATATTTTACATTGATAACCAAAATTTTATGGATTTTTGGTACTCGAGATTAGATGTGTGTCAATTAGTCTATACATGAGTCACATGTATATCAATAGATGAATGGATATAGAAAAAACTAGAACTGATATTGAAGATTGGATGAAACAAAATAGGAAATACAATCTCCTGATAGGAAGATTGCCATTCTCTCAAAGGCGTAACCAATGAGCGTCTAGAGACCAACACAAATCTAACAATATTTCTCTCCCTCTAACAATGCAATCCTACCCTCTAACAAACTCTTTTAGAAATTACCCTTTTACCCCTTTTAAGTATTTAACTATCTAATTCCTATCACTCTTTTACATGACTATACATATGGTCTCGTACATGGTAAATATGAAAAAGAAAATGTGGAAAAGGTGGAGATATCAATGATCAACAAAAATTAAAACAAATCCATCTATATTACAATATAATTCAGTCCCAATCCAAACTATATGGGTTTAAACTCGATGACTTGCACAATAAGCCCTTTAAGCGACTCAAAATCGAAAATCTTCAAATCAAATTCTATCGAAATCCTTGGGGTTTTGGTTTTAAATTCATATACTTGTACCTCCATCCAACCATCATTTCTTTGTTGTGGAAGTCCTTTCTTTTGATAAAACTTTCCTGTAGTAACTGGGGCTTCAGGACTAAGTAAATAGATAACCCATGGACAGGGATCCGGATCAGGAAAACCATAAAACATACGTTCACACATAACAGGAAGCTCAAACCAAGAATGGTTTTCTTGTAATTTATAAACAAGGTAAGTTGCATATGTTGTTTCAGGTGACAAATAATCAGAGCTGCAATATATCGTGAACTTGCGAACAGGATCAAAAGCCACTTCTCTGAATCTACAAAAGGAAATATTGCATTTATTAATAGAACTAGTTGTGAAACTCATGTATTACATGAGTTAATTTAAAAAAAAAAGTTAAATATAAATGTCAATATTTAAGAAATTTGAATTTATAAGAAAATAAGAAAAATAATAAATTATTATAATAGAAATGTTTTTTATCTTTTAAATTTAAATAAATAAAAGAAACTAATAAGCTTTAAATTTAAGAATTTTAAAATTAAAAGGTAAGTTCATTAATGAAATTGATATCCATTTATTACTATATTTATTGCAATTATTATATTAAAATATTATATGGAATTTAATAAAATAGAAAAACTCATAAAATGACATGTGGAAAAAAAATTAATTCCAAATAACCACAAAATGACATTTAACAAATTGAATGGGAGTGTGACAAGTGACAAAAAAAAAACATTCATTTATTAGAGAGGATACCACAACATGCATATATATACTTGCACTTGTACTAGAAGCTATCTCATGTTAATGTTTTATCAAGACAAGAGTTGTATAATTTTCTTAAATAGAGAAACACAAAGGGTACTACTGTAAATTAACCAAATTATGGGTCTAAGATAGAGAAAGAACCTTGACTTCAGTAAAGACTTCCATTCCCATGGGCAATCTGGACCTCCCAAAGCCCGTCTTGCAGATAGCATAAAGACTTCCTGTTCACCACTATAGTAGAATGGTAACCCTTTGCAAAAAAGAGAGTAGAGTTCCTTCTTTGTTGCTTGATGCAAACTCTCTTCTCCCCACAAGATTATTTTTTTATAACCACTTGGCAATTTTCGTTCCCAGTATGTTTCCTCATTCTCATCCTCATCCTGTGATGATAATTCATCCTGCACAATTAAATTAAAGCATATACATTAGACTTAATTTTATCAACTTGAAGAAAACTCCTAAGATGTGTGGTATTTTTTTTCCCCAAAAAATGGTTTTTTTACCTTGAAATTTTGTTGCAAAGGATTAATTTTCAAGAATATTTGAGACACTAAAGAAAACATAAACATAATGAAACCGGTATTTTTCAACTTACTTCCTCAAGGGGCACAAACTCAATGCCTTATACTTCAATCCCATATGCGCAATCGAACTCAATTTCAAAGTCAATATTACTCGTATTGTTGATAAACCGATACGAATCAGCCATCAACCATCAATCTTCTCTCTCATGAGATACAAACAAAATTGAATAGTTTGTCTCACTAGGGGACTTGTACTTGATGCCTAAATGGTCCAACCTTTTGCGTTTATTTTTATAAACACAAGATTTACTTTGTATGTGATATTTGGTGTCAAAAATTGTGTTCTTATATGTGCGTTGAATTTGACATATAAATCTCTTTGGTTGCGTACTTCAATTCTGCATGAAAATGCGACTTTAATATGAATCATAGGTATTGTGAGAATGTAAAAACAATAACGTTGATGAAAAAATCTACGGTTGTGATGAAATTATGGAATAGTTAATGCTTTCTAAATTAAAGAGATTTGATAATGGATAAGAATTAATTACTATTCTAATCACAACCGTTAGATTCTTTCATCAGACGTTCCAGAATTCTTCTTATATTCTCGTTACTAGTTGTGAGATTCATGTATTACATGAGTTTATTTAAAAAATAAACAATATCTAACAATTTAGAAAATTTAAATTTACAAGAAAAAAAAATATTAATTTTTAAAATTGAAGTGCTTATTTATGTTTAATTTAGAAATTTATAAATTATAAGGAATCTACTCTAATAAATGAAAGTTTTTTTGTCACATGTCATACTTTCATTCAATTAGTCAAATGTCATTTTGTGGTTATTTTAAATTAATTTCTTTTCCACATGTCATTTTATGGTTTTTTATTTTAATAAATCCACATAATAATTTATGTAATAATTACAATAAATGTAGTAATAAATTAATATCAATTGCATTAATGAACTTACCTTCTTATTTCAAAATAACCAAATTAAAGTTCATTAATTTATTTTGTTTATTTATTTAAATTTAAAAGATAAAAAAGATCAATTTTAATATTTCATTATTTTTCTTATTTTTCTTATAAATCCAAAGTTCTTAAATATTTAGACTTTTATATTTAATTTTAATTAATCCATGTAATACATGGGTCTTACACCTAGTGTTGTATTAATGAATTGGATATGCATTTATTACATTTAAGTATTATATGAAATTTAATAAAATGAAAAAAAAACTACAAAATGATATATGGATATGATTTAATCTAAATTTACCACAAAATGACATGTGACATAATGCATAAGAGGATGACAAGTGGAAAAATTATTTTCATTTATTAGAACCTTAATGGAGAAGGACAACTAACCTTGATTTAATTTCATCATCATATGCAACATAATCAAGAGGTTGTTCGGTCAATGTAGGAATGAAACATTCTGCTGATATCATTTCACAATGTTCCTCTTTCTCATTTAAGGAGAACCACTAACCACTGTCCATCAAAAAAGGTCAAATTGTATGAGTAGAGATTTGGAGAATCACAAAATGACATGTGACATAATGCAAAAGAGGATGACAAGTGGCAAAATTATTTTCATTTATTAGAACCTTAATGGAGAAGGACAATTAACCTTGATTTAATTTCATCATCATATGCAACATAATCAAGAGGTTGTTCGGTCAATGTAGGAATGAAACATTCTGCTGATATCATTTCACAATGTTCCTCTTTCTCATTTAAGGAGAACCACTAACCACTGTCCATCAAAAAAAGGTCAAATTGTATGAGTAGAGATTTGGAGAACCACGATTTTCTTTGTTTTTTCACGTTAAATGATTGTGGTTATTTTATAAATAGAAATCTATGATACGTTGTTGACTTTGATGTTTTGCTATGGTTTCCCAGGTGTAGTAGATAATTTTCATTGTATATATACTTAATAAGCTTTATTTTATTTTTTATCAAAAGAAATTCCTCTATTATACATTAAAATTTTATGAATCTTACAATTTACTATTCATAAAATGAATAAATATTAAAGGACTTCTAATCCAATGGTATCAGATGTTGTCCTCACTCATTGAAGTTGAAGGTTCAAGTCCCATCATGGACATAAATAGAAGTAAGGAGTAGTTTAGGAGTAAGAGTAGGTTAGACTTGCCTTAAAAATGAATAAATGAATAATCTAAAAACAAGAGTCAATTACCGTGTTGCCCTCATTAAAGATGATTCCTTTGGAGAGAAGCATCTCATATTCCTCTTCGTTGGCCACAGACGGCTTAACAAGCTCCTTAAACTCCTCTGGATTAGAAATCCCCTGCTAAAACTGAAGCGCAAGCTCAAGTTTTTCCACCACATGAGACATCTTTGGCTTTTTGAATGAGATCTAAGAAAACAATGATACGCGATTTCTGAAAATATTTCCCGTGACCTCATATTCATATCTTGCTTCAGATGAGGAAAGATAATGTCATCTAGTTTATTCTCTTGGTGGCTTTTTTCCCACCTTGGCACAAGACACTGCTCTTTTGTAATTTGTTTATAGCATAGGGTCCCACACAACGCTTCAAACAATACCACCCCAAAAGAGTACACGTCCGACTCTTTTGTTAGGATGTCTGTCTCGACATACATCGGATCTACGTAAAGAGGGTACCAAGAACATTGGTTGCAAGAAAGGATTGTGATTGATTGGCGGGTCCTATTTTAGAGAGTCCCATATCAGAAACTTTAGCGTTCCAATTCTCATCTAATAGGATGTTGGCACTCTTGATATCCCTGTGGATGACTCTTTGTTGTGTCCCATGAGGATGATGAAGGTGGGATAACCCCATTGCAGTGCCAAGGCATATCTTGAGACGTTGCATCCATGTGAGAGTCATGCTACTCAAATGGCAATCAAGGCTTCCATTACTGGCATATTCGTACATAACGATCTTTTCGTCATCCTCATCGCAAAATCCCAAAAGAGATATTAGATTAGTATGTGTGTAGCGGGAAAGCATTAATATCTCTTTCAAAAACTCGAAGTTTCCTTGCCAGGAGCTTTTACTCAGACGCTTCAAAGCAACCGCAGTTTCCCCTTTAGAATCGAAGAGTACGCCTGAGTACACCTTCCCAAATGCACCTTCTCCAGTAACTTTGTTGTCATCAAAGTTTCCCATGATTAACTTTATCTGTTTCAAGTTAAAGCATTTAAGATGTTGAATCTGCTCCAAAAAGGCCTCATCCATGATTTGTGAGATTAACGAGATTGTAAGATGTTTGACTTTAAATTGTTGAAGCTAGATCTTTGAAAGGGGATGTTGTTAAATAACCTCAAAGTAGAGTATACCATAAGAGAACTTGGACATACGACATTCCTACCCACTCCTTTTACTTATCACTTTTATACTCTTTTATTTTACACATCATTCCTATTTTTATTTACGCTTTTTTAATTCCTTTCTTTATAAACAATTTATAATTTATAATTTACACCCTTTTTTAAAATTTACATAAAAGCTTCTGGTTTCGCCCCGTCTTCTAATTTAAGTTTAAATATTTATCATCTGAATATATCAATTTAATTATTAAAAATACATAACATAAAATATGTATTAATTTAAATAAAATTACATCATTAATAGATCATGTCAAATACATTTGAAATGATACCTATATTGGATATTATTGTTTTTTAATTGATCTCTATCGTTATTACAAAATAATGTTCATTCCAACTTAAAAATTTGATACATCACTTTTAACATTCTTACTCATATAAAAATTTTAGTCGTAGAAATGAAACATGTACCAAAAAGATAAGAGAGGATTCATTATATATATATATATATATATATATATATATATATATATATATATATATATATATATCTATATATATATATATATATATATATATATATATATTGTTTACATGTTTACAACATATATAGGTTCCGTTTGTTAGACACAACATAACATGACTCAACAACATATCATATATTTGACGTGTGAACTACAAATATGTCTAATGTAAATAAATAAATTATATAAAAATCATTACTTTTATCCATAATAATATATATCTTCTACAAATAAATGCATATTAAAAAATTAAATAACTACAATTATCATATTAACATAAATAAATTATATAAAAAAAGACAAAATTACATAAATGGTCCTCGCGGTTGACAAAACGGACCAATTATGGTCCTTATGACGACTTCTTTACACAGATGGTCCCTGTGGTTTCTAAATCTTGCAGAGACGGTCCTTTAGGCTAACGGCGTTAAGTTTTTCAGTTAAGTTCCATGTGAAATGACATATTTGTCCTACCAGCGTAGGGACCATTTATGTAATTTGTTCCTGCCATATGACCATTTATATAATTTTCTCTATTATTTATTATTGTTCTTAGTTCTTACTTAATTTATTTATATATTTTAGTATTTAGATATTTTGAAGGTTTTGTTTGAATATATTGTTTAATGTTTTTCTTTTAAATTTTTTTCGTTAATATTTTTTAACATTTTGTTCAAATTTTTATTTATTTATTTATTTATTTTGACGTTTTTTTCAAATATATTTATTGATGTTTTATGATGTTCTATTGGAATAATTTTTTCTAATTCTTTTACTTTTTGTTCTAATATATTTTTTAATGTTTTTATTAGGTTTTGTTTCTTTTAATATTTTTTGAAGAATTTATAGTCACCTTAATCATAATTCGTAACTTACTTCACTTACAATCATGTTTTTTTTTTAAATATACATAAGCTTATATACTTATTATTTTTAATTCATATATTTAGCTATGTAAAACATATAATGTAGTATGAGTATTACTTTTGTAAAGTTTTTTATGAACGTTTTTTTTTAAAAAGAAGTGTAAAAAGATTTGTTAAACTTGAATAGAATTAATATAGATAGGATAATTGGAATACATATGATAATCGGAATTCGAAACGGGTGTCAGGTTATACATAGGCTAATTGAAATCTGTATAACTTAAAAATGCACAAAATGTCTAAAAAAAAAAAAAAAAAAAAAAAACCTCGAAAACATTACGTTTAAATCCAATATGAAACGACTTGGTCGTACTCGGCAAGATTGTGAGACGGTCTCAGCTTAGCCTATGTCTACCTAATGTATATTAATCATATTTACGTTTAACAAATATTATACATTTTTTATAAACAATATTTATAAAAAAAATTTACAAAAATAATAAGTATACAATATAGTTGAATATTTGAATTAAAAAATAATTATTATAAAACCTGATAAAAGAAAAATGAAAAATGAAAACATGATTGAAGGTGAATTAAGTTATGAATTATAATTACAATAGCAATGCAATCCTATAACAAATATAAACATACTAAATGTTGAAAAATGTATTCGAACATAATGACAACAAAATCCAATAAAACGTCAAAAAAAAAACATTAATAAATGTACTTGAAGAAAACGTCAAAAAGATTAGAAAAAATAATTTGAGCAAAACGTTAAAAAAATGTTAGCAAAATATATATATATATATATATATATATATATTATATATATATATATATATATATATATATAACATTAAACAATATATTTAAACAAATCTTTAAAAAATCTAAATCCTTAAATTTATAATTAAATTAAATAAAAACAATAATAAATAGTAGAGAAAATTACATAAATGGTCCCTGTGGTAGGAACAAATTACATAAATCGTCCCTGTGCAGGAAGGGTAAATATGTCATTTTGCATAGGACTTAACTGAAAAAGTTAGCACCGTTAGTCAAAAGGACCGTCTTTGCAAGATTTTAAAACCACAGGGACCATCTGTGTAAAGAATTCGCCATAAGGACCATAATTGGTCGATTTTGTCAACCACGAGGACCATTTATGTAATTTTGTCTAAAAAAAACAACGTCATAAATAACACGTTATAAATTTTTGTTTCAAAATGATATTATCGGCTCTTCCGACAATAAATTAAAATAATAATAATAATAAAATAACTATTGCTTTGGATCAAAATGTTCACAACTTAGATAATGCAAAGTCACCAAAAGCCATATATATACAAATTTGTTATGTTCTTGACAAAACATGGCCTGAAGACACTTGTGCTTGTTTGTAAGATGTTAAAATGACCAAATTGGGAATGAGATCATAAATATGCTAATGCTATATGTTGTAAACATGTAACCAATTTGTATAGATCTGACTTGTAACTTGACTGAATAAATGTCTTTATCAGTTGGCGCCCGCTTTTGCTAAGCTGGCCATATATGTGATGTAAATCGTCCATACATACGCAAACGAGTTGCTCACCAGTGGCTGCATTGTTCAAAACCAATATGTAAACGTAAACTAAATACATATCTAAATAATTTTTTAAAAAAATAAAAAGAATATTTAATAATGGTAATCGTATTATTACCTGCAAATGAACGGGGACGAATCTGAAGGTGATAAAATCACATATCGGCCAATATAACACGTTATTGATCATTGTCGGCAACATGTCTCGCTTTAATCTGGCCATAATTTCTTTGCCTTTTTCACCTGAGAGATGTGATAGATTTAGACACACTCTCATCTGTCTGTATATATGTTGGAGTCTACCTTCTCTCTTTAAGGACTCTTTTGGAAAATAAATTCAAAGCTAATATTAAAAAACAAGATAAAGGGTGATTAAAAAAATACCTTGCAGGGCTGCATTGACAGAGAAGAAAGTGGCAGTCATTATAGGTCCATATATCGTCTGTCCCATGAACATCTTTTTAAATGTTGTGATAAGGTCTTGTTTTGGTAGAACCCTTGAAACAAAATTGAACCAGAAATGTAGTGATGGACCTAATATCATCATACCATATCCAGCCATACGACAAGTCCTTATCACATCATAAGCCTCTGAAGAAGACCTTGTCATTGTCTGAAAATTGATTATACCCAATTTGAGAAAGAGAAACCACAAACGAATACCCCTCTATATTAAGGTAATTCAGCTTGGAAAGTTGCAATTAACATGGGACATCATTAATAATATAAGCTGCAGTATTCACGTGATACCCAAAAGCTTCCTGAAGGTTCAATCTAGAACTATTTTTTGATTTCTACTAAATCAAAACTTGGTTTGTTCTTTATGATTCTCTCTTAACTCTTTTTATACAGATTTTTCTGAGCCCTGCATTCTATTTGAAAGCACATCATAATTTATCTTTGGATTCTAATATAACTATGGCTCTAACAAGAAATATCATTAAATGCATTGTAAGAACAAATCATTAACAAACTCAATAGCCAAACAAACTGAAGATTCAGAATACAAACATTAGATATAAGTGAAGTACCTGAGATGTAAAATCAGCAGCAGTGTAAATGAGGGCGGATGTGATGCTTTTAGTAAGAATGGGTCGGGTTTTAATCATGCCCAAATACCATCCAATTGCTGCACTATTCGTAATAGAAGCCAATAGCGTTTTACCATTGGTCTTACTACTAATACTACGAACTGGAACAGAAAATTCCAAATCTTTGGTTTTTCGACCAGGAAATCGGGAGTAAAAAGCTTTGGAAAGTTGGGGTTCTCGTCGGACATGGCTTCTGTGAATCGGAACACCGATTGAACCCGAAACAGAGTGGCTTCTCCATATGTTTTGAACTTTGTTACCGTTTCTTAGGACGCTGGTGTTCATTTTGTGAGAGAAATATGGCTTTGTGAAATAGGGTTTGATTTTCAGGGGAAGGGAAGAGAAGAGAAGAAACGGCTTTTTATGGCTTCCGGAAGAAAGGGGAAGGAGACATGTGTTTCGCTGGCGTCTGCAAATTGTGTCTTACTCGCGCCGTCGCGTGTACGATTGATTATGATTTTTGTTTAAATCATAACTAATCAATTACTCGTGTAATTATTAATGGTCCTTCTTCTTTTGGGGTAGTCTTTCTAATTGGTTCGTACTTATTTTTCTAACTCGAATTATTTCTATTTTTTGGTTTTGGTTTAAAAATAACTATAATAACCTAGTATTTTATCTTTTATTTGTTTATTTCTTTTATTTTTATTAAAAAAAACGTACAACGACTTCTTATAATGTCATCAAAACCTAAAGAGAAGAGGACGCAGGTGTGAATCTCCTTCTCGTTATTTCTTCTCTCACTGATCTATCGTGCCTCTCTCCACTCTGTCTCTCTCTAACTCACTTGAAAGCATACGAAACCGATAAGACCCACAGTCGGTCTCCATCCAGTTCTGATCAGTATGCCGACCACCCTAGCTTCTCGACGAATTACAATGCATTTAATCCCTTCAGCGGCGGATGCAAGAATTGATAATAAGTGTTGCCGGATTTTTTTTCCAGTCAAACATAATATAAAACCGAAAAATCATTCATGATGTCTAATACAAAAAAGCGATCTATTACATAAAAAGTTAAAAACATAACAACGATTTATTACAATTTAAATTTGTCCTCTTCATGCAAATATCTTTTGAAACCGCTCCATTACTTTTTCATTCGCAACTTTCGCAAGTGTTTCGGTCTCAACATTACAAAGCAACACGTCGTTCAAAAAGTCATCACCAATTTTGTTGTGCAAGTCGGTCTTCAAGAGCTTCATCTTCGAAAAATATATTTCTACACTTGCGGTCGCTACGGGTAATATCAAAGTCAACTTTAAAAGCTTATAAACCAAAGGATAAGACCGATGTTTCCTCATACTAACCACCAAACGAGAAAGGTCGGAAATTCATTTCAAACTAGTGAAGCGTTCAACTTTGATGCAAGAGTGATAAAATTGATGGGTTTTGAGCACTACATCATTCCTATGGTGTACATGCAAACCCTAAAGCTTTGGATCTAGTTTGTCTAATGAACATGCTATAATCATCCAAAGCCATAAACCCTAAATCTAACATGTGATAATCGACATTAACATAAGAATAGGGTTTAGATCTTACCTTTGATTGTTATGTAGTAATAACAATCTATTCCTTCTTGTAATTGGCTTCTGAAAGCTTAGTGTCACAAGTGTCACACCTCTAATGGCTCACAAACACCAAGAGCAAGAGGATGACTTAGGAGAAGAGAATGAGGCACCAAAAAACGTCCAAGAACCCTAAGGAAAGCTTAGCCACATTTTTGGTGCCCTAGGGGTCTTTAAATATGTGAGGCTATTAGGGTTTTGAACTAGGAAACCCTAATCTGACTGCTTAGGCCCTAAGCAGCCCATGGACTCCTCCTTTAGAGGCCTTGGACGAATTCTAATGGGTTTCCCCATAGATTTCGTCCACTCCATCCACTATGGAGTCCATTAGCCCAATATCCAACTATCACACAATTGACAGTTCTAGCCCTTTTTATTTAATTAATGTCTTTTAGCCACAAAATTAATTCTGATTAATTCTTGACTATTATTAATTAAATAATATGATTTCTCTTTTAATATATTATTCATATAATATATAAATAAATCATAATTATTCTCTTTTTCCATAAATCATCCTATCAAGTTGCTTTGGTGAAGGCAACCCAAAAGGACCATGCTCGCAATCGGGTCAAGTACATACCAAAATAGTTATGGGCTTAGACACTAATCCAACAGTCTCCCACTTGGATAAGTCTAATAACTATTTTGCGTATGACTTCAGATCCTGATCAGCAATCGTAGCTTTCAAAAGCCGCTGTCAACTCTGATCTTATCATATGCGCGTCCTTTAGATAAGGGATCATATATTCCTCCATTCTAGATATCGTATAGACGTGAGACATAGATTGAAATCATTCTCTCAGTCTATGTGTTGTTTCCCGATTTCCGATTTACGACGACTGACTAGTTGAACAAATCAAATCAGTCCTGGCCCGGCCGAGCACTTATGTTTGTCATCACTAAACCATCGAGGGGCCCACAGATATCGCTTTTATCCTACATTGGGTAAAAGGAACGGATAAACTTCGACTCAATGCTCGCTTGTATTCACTCACCGAATCACACACAACAATACGTTTTATAACACCAAGTTACTGGTGTGTTTACATATTATCAATGTGTAACCGATTCGCAAGATACAACTCACACATCTCGGTTTCAAGAATATAAGATATTATCGTCTCACCAATCACTCGTGATAAAATCCATGAAGCGATCCAAGTGAGAGTGAGTTTAATCCAATACTCTAATCTTATAGGAGCACTCATGAACCATGCAGCAAACTTTTGCTATGTTTAAAACACTTTAGACAATCTACAGTCAGATTCATGACAGTCTTCTTTCATACCTATTTCCAAAGTATGAGCGACTGTGGAGGGTTTGAATAATCTTATTATTCGGGAAGTCAAAACATGCAAAGTGAAACACAATAATAATACTAATACTATATGGCCTCAAACCTTTGAGTATAAATAAAACACTTTTATTTAATCACCATATTGATTACTCATTATTTGTTGTTTCGGGTAATCAACTTATTACTTGAATTATAACCATAGTTGTCCCATGCACCAAGCATACACACTATGTTTACCTATGGTCCTTACCTTGTGAAATAGATCTATTGAGAACATTTTCAACAAAACTCATTTCATAATTCCTAATCCTTATCAATTAGTGTAAGATTACAAAATTCTCGCCACTACTAGAATATGTTAAATTCTTACACTTTATGCAACGGTCCTTTCGTAATGTCACGGCACAAAAGTCACCAAGACTCGGCCAATGAAATTACAAAATGCTCTATTGGAGATTGTTACAAGACAATTCCATAGATGTGAAGTCTCACATTCAAAGTTCATTCCTTTGAACATCCTTCTTGCATAAAAGTTTCTAATATAGACATAAACTCTTAACGTCCAACTCCCAATTTGGAAACATTTCCATATTTTCCATATGACAACTCATTTTAAATAGAATCTTATATATTCATAATAATGTCAATATGGTCCATCCATGACTATACTTCTAAGTGTCCACAAGTGACCAATCCTTGGCGAACCTTAGATTATCCTTGACAGTTGTTTAACTAATTCAGTCAAATCCGATTCTAGTCCTCTTTCCCTCTTAATGCCCTAGGCATTTGGAAAATTTTAGAACGGTCGAATATTACAACGACATGATACTTTACCAGTCTTTTGCTATAATATTTCTATTTCTATTTGTCATGTTCTCACGATTTGAACTATGAAGAGGGATGTCGTAATCATAATCGAGTGTGAGAACGCAACAATTATTTCCATATATAGAATTCTCTTACGTTGAATCCTTTCAACATAACATTCATATATCTTTTTTTGACTAAATTTGATCAAAATTTATCGATCTAAACCTTTAGATTTGAAACAAAGTATAATATTCTCTCCCTTAATTATAGCAAAACAACTTTTCAACCTATGCAACTTTGCAAAGTGAAATTTTTGTTTTCTATAATTAATATTGCTAACTTGCAATAATAATCATGCTCCCACTAACATGATGATTATATTCATACCAACATAACATTTATGCTCCCACTAGCTTTGACCCGTATTCAGAAAACAGTTGGACTTCTAAAAGACAATACTTATTGACTTTCCAAAGTTCATATTTCCAATACGATGTGCTTCGATAAGCCTTTATCTAAGCTTCTCAAATTCACACACCTTTCCTTAGATAGCTCACATGTGTGTCTAAACTAATTCAGAACTTATATTACTAAGTCCTAAATGTTCAGACTAACTGCCAAATCTCACAATTCAAACTATGAAGAGGGATGCCGTAATCATAATCGAATTTGAGAATGCAATTTACATAATCGCTATCTCCTTAAAATCTCTCTTAGTGAAAGCGTTTCCTCACAATCATTTTCATGAAGGAGAGAAACCTTATGACACTTAGATTTTATGGTGCATGTGTTCCTATCCATGCAAATTTGTCATAAGCATAATCGTAAGATAATGTTTGTGACAAATTCAAACTCTTATGGACAGAACTTGTTCATTCTTAATTTCTTGCCATCAAGGGTCCCACCATTGCTTCCAAGTTATTTAGCAGCTCACCTATGACAGTCAATGTACTTTCATTGATCAAGGTGTTTGCCCTTATGCATTCAATTGAGAACTCGTAGAACTCATATGCATAATCACTCAACTGGATTGGCACATAAATAAAATTTTGTCAACACGATAGGTTACAATCCTCAAGTCGTGTGCTAGTGTTTAATAGGTTTACTTCTTGATTTGTTCTTGAAACTTTTCAAGAATCTTTTGACTCCCACTGACCTCTTGACATATAATATTCTCTTATCAAGAAACATTTCTTGACAAAACAAATATTCAAGAGTCAGTGTGTGTCTTTATCAAGACAAACCTACACACAATTTGGTACTAGTTGGTCTCTGTCTTATCACAAATTATGTAACACCTGATTCCCGATACGCAGTTAATTCAAGTATTCTTATGTTTTTCTCTGGGACTCAACGAGTTGGAGGCCCAACTCGTCGAGTAGAGTCGGGATCCGCGGACATTTTAAGTGACCTACTCGACGAGTCGGTAGACTGACTCGGCGAGTAGGTGTTGTTTGGATGAAACCCTAAATTTGAGGGTTTGCACCCTATTTAAACGTCTTATTGCAGCCTCCACCGTCCCTTATGCTCCTAGAACACCTCATATCGAAACCCTAGCCGCTTTGAGTGATCTAAGACCATTTTTGGTGCTTTTGGGTGGTTTTTGAAGCTTGAAAGGAAGGAAGAAGCTTGGGAATTCGAGTTGGGGCTTGTAGATCCAGGGATCTTATTCCATCTTGAGCTCAATCAAGGTAAATGCCC